TCCTAATGATTTTTGGCATAAAAGAAAAATTTATAATTTTGACCCATACAATGTATTGTTGGCTATTGCTACAATTATATATACGTGTGACTTAAGACTGATCTTGTGCTCCAGAGTCACAAATATATTTTCAGATTTATTAATTTTTTTGTCTATTTTATTAGTTTTGGTTTGTTTGTTTTTAAAGTGTATATATTTTAGTTATTTTAGTACAATTTAAACTAAATGAAAATTAGAAATGTTGCAGTTTTGCAGAAAAGTTTTTTTTTATTATTTCAATAAACATTTATTTCATTTCATTTACGGAAATGTGTTCTATGGTTTTAGTGTTAGTTTTACTTTTAGTTAGCTATAATAATCCTGATTCTCAGAAGCTAATAATTCAATGCACAAAATAAAAAACAGAACTACCAGACTTTGCTATAAGTTTGATTGCATCATATAATAATTGCTGTTAATAATGTTCATCATCTGTTTGATTACGTCTTTAATTTATTTTTCCGTACATTTCTGCCATATGTACATAAACTGACAGTCACCACTGATAAGCTACCACTAAATATTGTAGAAACTTAATTTTCTGTAAAGTTGCTTTGCAACGATTTGTATTGTAATATAAAATTGTTAATTAGTAATTATAAATTGTTAAGAACCTATTCAGTTCAGGTACCAAAGTTTGTTGTTGAAATTATAATCGTGGCTGTTGGTCACATTTTGCTGCAAATTATTTAGTGGCAACAGACTCCAAGTAAACTTTATTGAATGATGTTAAAAAAAAATCAATAAACAGATAATTCTAAATTTTTTTATTTGTCCAAAATACATTGTTCTTTAAATAATGTATTAAGACTGAAAATAAATTGAATGGATTTAACCGGATTTGCTTATCTGTCAGACACCATGAAGCATTACCCTCTCGGCTTTGAGAAGAGTGAAGAAACAAGCTAATCTTCCAGGAGTTCAATATTAAGTTCCCGTCACTGTCAGACGGGGCGTGAGAGAGGGAGGGAAAAAGATTAGACTCTTCAGCACAGATGAACGTTAAAGGCTTATATTCCACCAAAACACATTCTCACATTGTTAATATGTGGATTAGGCCATTTTCTCCTTCCCAACAGAAGTATCAATATATGAGTATAAAATGGCATAATGCAGCAGCTCTCCACTGCATTCTCGGCCTGTATCAACGCTGAGCTTGTGTTATTGTGAAAGAGGATATGAAGAGTGACTTCTGAGATATTCAATGCTTCTAACTGATTCCAGGATCTGTACCTGTGCGTTAGTCTGCGTGTATTCATAGACATACATATTCAAGGCGGCTATTGTGTCAGTAATGTTTTCATACCGAATATCAACCGTGGGTTCTGTTCGGAGCGGTTTATGAGATTAAATGCTGTCATTCAAGGGAGAAACCTGAAATAATTTCACATTTTCTCCGCAATCAGTCAATTACGTTTCTCATTGCTTTCTGCATCTGTGATATCCTCCTCCTCTTTCAGTCACGAAGATGAGTTGTTTGCCACACTAAATATAAATTCAATGAATAATTTTATATTCACATAGAGCGATATTCCACACCCCGCCAGTGTGAAGCGCCACCTCTGCCCAGCCTGATGTGCATTCGAATGGATTTTTGCACCATTTTCATACCAAAACTGGGAGAAAACAAGAACACCCCCCCTCCCCCTCCCCCCAAGCAAAGTCCACCAAGAATGTAGAGGGAAAACAATTTATTATTCCATCAAACCCAATCATATTTATGACCCTGCGCTTTCTCGTATGAGAGCGCTTTCCATTGCTCCATTGCTGTGTTATTTAAAATTTAATAAACCTGGTCTACAACAGTACTTATTTGGCCCCACATTCTAATCTGCTCCTAATAAAGACATGCCAAGCAGAGGGTGTGAAAAACGAGCTCACCGCGGCGGTTGGCATGAGTAAGGGAGAGCGCTGGGGATAAATCAGAGCGGGAGATGTTGGAGACACACAGATAATCTTAGAGTGCCGCTATGTGTTTGGTGCTCTCCTCTCAGCACCGGTGATATACAGTGATGGGAAATCCATGCAGACTCTCGAAAGGGCGAGATGGAGGTGACTCGTATAAATGTTTGACGTGAGCAGTTTTTCAAAATAAAAGTTTGGAATTAACACCCAAGATGAGCTCAGCAAACTCATTCACTGTCTGTCACCGGTGAATTAATGTTTATTGACGGGGAAATAATGACACTGACTCACGAGCAGGCTTACGTGAAATCTGTTCCTGCAGAGCTCCTCGGAAACTTCTGTCATTTATAAAATTCCCTAAATCTCAGACTCATTGCATATTCATTTATTAAATATTGTGGCTAATTTGATTATGCTTTCAGCTGCTAATAAGGGTGTGGTACTCTCAGCTCCATTCAGAGGGAATAGTTCTCCCAAAAATGAAAATCCTGTTATTTTTCCACCCTCATCTTGTTCTAAATCCATGTATTATTTATTAATTTACTTACTTATTTCAATATGTACTTATTTCTTGAAAAACCAACTTTGTATAATTTGGTCCATGTGGAAAGTGTTTTATGATATATTTTTATACATTTAATTAATGTATATAGACACAATTAAGTGTGTGTGTGTGTGTGTGTGTGGTATTGGCTACATTTTGGGGAACAATTGTCCCCTCAAGTATAGTAATACCTCATTTTTGACCTAATGGAGACATTTTTTTGGTCCCTATGAGCAAAACAGCTTATAAATCATACTAAAGGAAGTTTTTTTTTAATTTATTATAAAAAAAATTTATCTAAAAATACAGAAAGTTTTCTGTGAGGGGTAGTTTAGAGTTAGGGATAGAATATACAGTTTAAACAGTATAAAAATCATTATGTCTATCAAAAGTCCCCATAAAGCATGGAAAATGTGCGTGTGTGTGTGTGTGTGTGTGTGTGTGTGTGTGTGTGTGGATGTTTTAGGAAGTTTTGCGTTCTTGTCGGATTTTTGTTTTTGTTAATTTGTTTAGGTTGTTGAAATGGAAATTGTTGTCCATATTTTATCTTCATAATGTTTGACCAAAAAAATAGTGTTACAAAAATATTTACTTATTAGTTTAAAAATTTTTTAATTCTTAACTCAGTCTGTTTAATTCTTTTTCTTCTTTTGAAGGCTTTCTTGGATGTTTTTGCTCATGCACACCACAAATTGTTACTTCAAAATCAGTGCAGAAAAATGCATCTGGACCTATACAATATATTAGAAACTTTATTTAAATAGGTTCTTTTACATTATGGTGGTGCAATCTAATGCATTCAAGTCTCTCTTTTGTTTGTCTATTGTCCTGTTTGTGTGTTTCACCGTATTATAGACCACGGATGACATGGTCTCTTCGGCCGAATGCTCCAGTGACGACGAGGACTTTGCCGAGTGCGAAGGACATGCAGGTGGGCTAGGTCAGTTGAATTTTGCTTGCCTCTATGTGGTGGCCTTTCATGTGCAACTGAGGATCAGATCCTCAAAGCATCGCCTCCCCCCATGGATAGAAAAAGTGTAACTTCCTTTCCAATCCAACCCATGTACACCAATATAGAGACATGAATATAGTAGGATATCTTAAGAAATATTCTAAACAAAACAGAAATAGGCATGGATTTATAATGCTTAGTCTATTCAGTAGCCTTGAATCAGAGCTGATGTCAAATCATTCCCCTCAAACTTTTATTACGAGCTACACTTGGCCATGGGGTTTTCCGAAGTGGTTAACATGGTCACACTGATTACTAATTTTGTCCCCAGTGCCTATTATGAGAGCATACGTACAAAATTAGTACAGAAAAGTGACATGTTCTCTGCATTGATGCTTCAAAATGTATCATACTGAGGTTTCTTTGCCATGTGATAGTGGACTGCATTTTGGCACATGATACATTTTGAGATTTCTCTTGAACTTTGCTTTCAGCCTTATAGTAGAGTGATATCTATTAGATTAATTGCTGTTGAAGCAGTCTTTTCGATTCCTTTCTGTTTCCTCATTTCAAGAGGCTTGATTTAAGTTAACTTGTTGTAATAGAGAACAGATATCATCGAATTTCTGTGTACCAATTTTTGTTTTGTGTCGTTATGCTTATTTTTAACGATATAATTTTGCGTCAGTGTGAACAAGTTGTTCTGCTAATATTTTATTACGAGCTACACTTGGCCATGGGGTTTTCCGAAGTGGTTAACATGGTCACACTGATTACTAATTTTGTCCCCAGTGCCTATTATGAGAGCATACGTACAAAATTAGTACAGGAAAGTGACATGTTCTCTGCATTGATGCTTCAAAATGTATCATACTGAGGTTTCTTTGCCATGTGATAGTGGACTGCATTTTGGCACATGATACATTTTGAGATTTCTCTTGAACTTTGCTTTCAGCCTTATAGTAGAGTGATATCTATTAGATTAATTGCTGTTGAAGCAGTCTTTTCGATTCCTTTCTGTTTCCTCATTTCAAGAGGCTTGATTTAAGTTAACTTGTTGTAATAGAGAACAGATATCATCGAATTTCTGTGTACCAATTTTTGTTTTGTGTCGTTATGCTTATTTTTAACGATATAATTTTGCGTCAGTGTGAACAAGTTGTTCTGCTAATATTTTCCAACCCAAATATGAAAAATACAATTCAGTGATTAGATTGATAGTGAGAAAGAGAGAGATTTGAGAGAAGTTGGGTATTGGCTTTTTTTTTTTCAAACGTAATTGTAGCTTTGAGAAAATAGTCTGTCATGTCTTTTGCGAAATATGCTACTTTTGTGATTGCAGTTATAGATAATATAAAATGTATTTCTTTGCAAATCATGATTCCAGCCAGAGAGGTCAAATGAATCTCATTATCATTTGAGTAAAACCCTACCACTTACAATAATTGCGTGTTTCTTCAACTTTGGGCACTTTTATATCCAAGGGGTTGATTTTTATTAAAATTAACAGATTTCAACTTTTTTTCTGTGACATGAAGGTCACGTTAAAATGTATCACATCAAGTCTTTTTACCATACTTTCATCATTTATTTAGATGCTTTTATAATAGATTTGATGGTTTTCACAAAGTAGCAAAATAATCATAAACATCTAAATAATAAATATCTGCATAAATTATTTACATTTATTGAAATACATATTATACCCAAATATATGTTTAGAAGTTTTTATTTATTTATTTAGCTATTTATTTATTTGCACCACAAAATGCTATGAAATGCATTATGTTATATGAAATATCATAATATAACTTTGTTACAAATTACTGCAAGTAAACTAGCAAATGTATTTAAAAAGTGTGTTCTTCACAAAGTCCAGAAAGCCAGATGTGCCCCTAGTTAAACAAACACCCAATTATACATTTTCCATGTCGGAAAAGCGAATCAGCGCACAACAAGAAGAACAATGTGCCATCAGATGATTTCCAGAGGCCAAAGCCATTTCATGGCCTGTTAGTTTTATCTATTGGCCTGTAATGAGCACGCTGTCTTTCATCACAGAAATGCGCAACATGTTTATTGTGCTCCATTGGATGAAAATGCATACGTTTAAGTTTTCATGCAGACATGACAGGCTAGTGATCTGCTCTGTTAGCCTGTTCTGACCCTCTGCAATTCTCTCAAATGTCAATACCAATTTCTTCCAAATGACATTCATCAGTTTAGCGGTTTGAGAACAATATCCATCTTTCTGGAATCTTTATGTACTCATAAAGAAAGCTATTGGCAGGGTCCCAATCATCCAGTCACGTTTACACAGAAATTCATGCCATTCTAACCTCTACATCAGTTGATGTGAAGCTGCATGAGACATAACCGCTGCAGGGGTGCGTCCTCATATTCGGGGTGTGTTCTGTACCGCATGCGTGGGGTACTTCCCCTTGATTTGTCCTCTTAATTTCATGAGCTTGCTCGTGGTCGATGTTATTTCCCAGCTTTCCAAAAGCAACAATCCTGTCATCTCGCCTCATCTTGTTCCGCATGATATTTTGGTGTTGAAATCGATTTTTCCTCCATTTTTCTCAAGCATCTGTTCCATCTGGGCTTGACCTTGAACATTGCCATTTTGATTAACAAAGCGAATAACAGGCAACAAAATCTTTTCTTGCCATCCAACGAGTTTTTAGAGCTCAAGCATTGATGTAATCTTAAGAAAGTTGTGTTTTAAGAATGACCAGCATCCTTGAACGATCCTTGGCACCCTCTCTTCCTCCTCACCTGACTGAGCCGGTCTGCATATGAAGTCGTTTTTGAATGCAGATGGCATAGAAAGAGTTTTATTGCCACAAACCGTGCGCTTCTCAATGTCACGCTTTCTTAAGCAGTCATTTGTGGCATGTAATATGGTAGCTGCTAGTCAGAGTCATTTTCCAGGCTATTCTCTCATTATTCAGTGCATGGCGCCATTTTTTGATCTCCATGCATATCCTCACCATCAGACTAACCTGAGTGCTGTACTGTATGTATGAGCCAGTTTCAACAAAGCATCATACCTCAAGCTTATGGTTGCAAAGATCTCCGCTGCATTTCCTGTACCAAATCGTGTTCCTGTCTATCAACGTGTCTGTCTTGACGTGTTGTCACGTGATTCTGTTCTCTGTTTGTAAAAATTGTTGGGTTTTCCCCTTTATCCCCTATCTGGAATTCCATAGGAGGGCTTCTGCTGATTAATGATACGCTTCCGAATCATTCCGTAGAGCAGTTCTGCTGTATCATTCTCAAATTATTTCTCTGCACACAGACCTCATTATTTTAAAGTTCATGCTTGCATGCAAACCAAAAAAGTTATATTTCTGTTATGTAAAGTTGCGGATGTATTTTTAGAAAGTTGTAAATAAACCCCACACATTTTGTTTATTCTGAAACATTAAATGGGGCTCATTTTCAGAGTGTTTTAAATGATTCGGTTGTAAAGTATTTCCGTTTGAACAAGACAAAAGGTAAAATGAATTAGGAATTGAGGGCAAGAAGCCTCCAGAGACTCAATTATCTGTTTGACAGAAGCATCTCTCACTCTTATAGTTTATGGTACAGTTTGCATATGCAGGAATGGTTCAGTGCGATGTATTAATATTAAAGTTGCATTGCAGATTTGTGTTGGCATGTAGTGTAATACTAATCAGCTCTAAAGAGCAAGGTTCTACATCTTTCCAAGTGCGATTTGTTCAGGCTTATCACTGCATCATATTGAGGCTTTTGATGAAATAATTACGGATAATTAATTGAAACGAAAATTTTGTTAAAATGAAAAATTTGTTTGTTTCTGCTAAAAAAAAAAAGTCCCATGATATTTTTCTGTCATTAAATCGTCAGCTTGGCTCAAACCAGATAAAGATGAATGAAGAATGAGATGGGTCATTTCTGTAAAGCAGTACCTTTTGAGCTCTGTAACTTTTGTAATAAAAAAAAAAAAAAAAAGATTTTCTACTAAAGGGCTTTGGCAGACTTTCAGAAATATGGTCAAGCTCAACAAATTAGAGAAAATTAACAGGATGCCCAACAGAATGGAAATAAAAGTCGTTTCTCGGAGAAGGAATTGAGAGTTACTGCTTACAGCTTGAGGGCTTTAACTTTTTTTAACTTTTTAATCATCTTTCATGTTTTAAAGTGAGACACAATCAGTATAGAATGAATGTAATTTTGTTAGTTAAAGGAGTTAATATTACGGGGGGGGGGGGGGGGGTAGGAGTTTATTGTTGTATCCATTATATTACAATTAAACATGCACTGCCATTCAAAAGTTTTGGGTCAGTATTTTATTTTATTTATGTTTTTTTTTTTAAGAAATTAATACTTGTAATCAGCAAATATCACAGTGAAGACATTTTATAATGTTACAAAATATTTCTAAATGCTGTTCTTTTGAACTTGCTATTCATCAAAGAATCATTTAGAAGAAAATGTATCACAGTTTCCACAAAAATATTAAGCGACGTTCATTAACTGTGTAGTAAGAATGACCCAAGAAAAATTTTGTCATTCTCTGCTCACCTTCATGTTGTTTAAAACCAGTATTAAACACAAAATTACATTACACAATTACAAATATTTTCCTTAAAAGTGGTCCACACTATACTCCAAGACTTCTGAAGCCATATAATATCTTTTTCTGTAATAAACAGATCAAAATGAGACATAACTAAATATGGCTCCTATGCTGTGTCTCTGAATTGCATTTGTAGGACTCATTTCTCTTCCTTATACGAACACCAGATGGCATTATATGCTGCACTCGTGATTTTAGATTCACACAATACTAAGAAATTTCCAAAAGATGCATATGTAATGAGCTGGATTTTAGTTATTAGCCTGATTCAAGCAGATATCTACTTTTTAAGAATACGTGTAGCTTGTTTTGTCATGCTGATTAGACAGAGGTGAGCGTCTTTTTAGACTCAAAAGCAATTAGATGCCAATGGAATGCAGGA